TGGACCCAGCCAGTTGCCAGTTGCCAGCTGCCAGTGCCAAACAACAAATCGTCGGAAAAGCTGTTTTTTATGACTGGTCACAGTTACTCACATTCACATTCACACTCACATTTCCATTCACACACTCATACTTGTACTCATTCTCAATTCACGTAGTGACGTGCAAATGTACTTGACAGCAGCTTTTCACTTTTGACTGTGATTTAAAAGATGTCATTCATCGCATAATGGCAGCAATTTTAAAGTTTGCTTTTAATTTCGATAAACTCTTGATAGAATTGCTGAAAATTAATGATTATTCAAATTGATTAACAGGCCAAAAGCTAAAGCAAACTATGAATGAAAATAGCTGAATATTGGTATAAAAATACTGTCAGTATATGTGGTATATTTTCGGTATTTTTAATATACTTTATAATTTTCAGGAATCAACTCGACGTCGAGGGGTATTGATTTAAATTTATTTCAATTTATATTAAAAGCATAGCTACAATAAAAACGGAATATGAATGTATCTTAAAATCATGCTTATGTAGTTTAATTTATTTGAATATAGATCTTAACTTTACATTAATCATATATTTAGAAGAATTAAATAGATTTTTCTATAACATAGACATGTTGAGAGATTACTTGGAAAATTTTATAAGAATCACTGAGCACTTCTAAATTATCAGGTATCAAATTATTAAATTATAACTGAAAGATTTCTCAAAAGCCCAGTCTATTATGACATAAGTCGATTAGTGTTCTATAAACTTGAAAGTAACAATATTAAGACAACTTTATTCTGGTGATAAAAAAAAAAACTGTACAATATTCATCTATTACTATTACAATTGCTCAAATTATGTAAATATTGAAAATGGGGAAATATACATATAACATCTATATTCAATATTTATAGAATAATATAATATTTACAATACTCATCTATGTACAATATTCATCTATTACTATTACAATTGCTCAAATTATGTAAATATTGAAAATGGGGAAATATACATATAACATCTATATTCAATATTTATAGAATAATATAATATTTACAATACTCATCTATGTACAATATTCATCTATTACTATTACAATTGCTCAAATTATGTAAATATTGAAAATGGGGAAATATACATATAACATCTATATTCAATATTTATAGAATAATATAATATTTA